AAAACCAGGCCCGATCAGAGCATTCAGTGCAATGAGGTTTTTTTTTAACTTGGGTGTCACATGTCTTCGTATGTCTGTATGATACCGTCGTAACCAATCAGAAATAGGGAATACAGAAAGTAAAATTGAAAAAAAAAAAAGGGGGGGGGGAGAGAGACAACTTCCAAATCATTCAGCCAGCTCTCACTTTGCACACAAATACACACACAAACACACACACACACGCACGCACTCGCACACACGCACACACACACACAATCAGAGAAAAAAAATGGGTTGGTGAAATTCGTATTCTATGTTTTAAGTGAGTAACCATACAAGAGAAAGTATTAATGAGTTGGTCTGTATAGATTTACGAATAGTGACGAATTTGCAAAGACCAGATTTCTTAGCTGTTTGACCTACCAGGCATGTCTTCTCCATTCCTAGGGTTTCAACCTTTGTCTCCACGACCACCGTCATCTCAGCTACGATTTCCACCAGATCCGGAATGACCTCGACCGCCGTCATCTCCACCACGATTCCCGCCACCAGATCCGGAATGACCTTGACCGCCGTCATCTCCACCACGATTCCCGCCACCAGATCCGGAATGACCACGACCGCCGTCATCTCCACCACGATTGCCACCACGATTGCCACCACGATTGCCATCAAGATCTCTTCTGTCGTTGCTATTTCCCGACTGGTTGAAAAGGTGAGAAAGTTATGGGAGGTATAAAGGGGTGTGTGTGGAGGTGTGTGTGTGGGTGTGTGTGTGTGTGGGAGTGGGTGGGTGGGGTGCTGGATGTTGAGGTTTGGGGTGGATGAAGTTGCGGGTGGCGGGCGGTTAAGTTGGGCCGTATGTAAATAAAAGGGACAACTTAAACTTTGTTTATATGACTTGTAGGCCGTGGGGGCGCTTTTTGGAGAAAAAAAAACAACAAGGCTGAGTATAAAATCTTGCATAGCACAATATGTCTCTGTTAAGGTTGAAGGTAAGAAACTGTTTCTACCGTGAAATAGACACTAGCTATTTGAGAAATGAAATCATGAGCTGTGGAACAAAACAATTCAAAAGGAAAAATACAAAAGAAAAGAACAGCAAATTGTACATCGATTCAAATGTCCACGCAGTCTAGCTGTGTGAAGCAGGGGTTGTCCATCTTTTGGGTCAGAGGGCCAGGTTTTGGGCCAGATGGCCAGGTTTTGGGTCAGATGGCCAGGTTTTGAGTCAGATGGCCAGGTTTTGGGTCAGAGGGCCAGCTTTTGGGTCAGAGGGCCAGGTTTTGGGTCAGATGGCCAGCTTTTGGTTCTGACTAGGTCCAGAAGGCCGGACCCACTATTGCCCGTGACAATCCTAGGTTGACTTTATTCCAAAGCTACTACGCCTACATCCCCACATCATCCATATCGCCCCCCCCATTCGCCACCCCATTCGCCCCCCCATTCGCCCCCCATTCGCCCCCCCCCCCCC